CAAAAATGAAGGATTAGACTTGAAGAGAAAGCCGAGTAAAAGAAAGATCAACAAACATAAGGAGTTACTCGGCCACCTAGTTCACCTCTCTTTCTGGGAACAGGGTCTAGGCGATCTTCGCCCTCGCTTAATTCCCAGTTGCCGCGGACATTAACCATGACATCGTCAACTCGTTTGACATAATTGGCAAGCATGGTTACCAAGTGATGGTCAGTGTCCTTGGCCCTGAAAAAGTAGCGGCCCAGCCGACCGAAGGATTTGGCCAGATGATGGTCAGTGTCCTTAGCCCTGAGAAAGTAGCGCCCGAGCCGACCGGAGGATTTGGCTAAAGCGTAGCAGTGCCGAATCACCGGAATACCAAGGTTGATCCTAAGGCGCCGGTTCAGTTCTACGATTCCCATTATGATTCGAAAGAAATTCACATTAGGTTGAGAAGGAATCAGACCCCAATGGCAGATGACGGCCTTAAGAAATGGGTACAAGGGAAAGCGAACCCCGCCCTCCGCAATGGATAGAAGAGGAAAAACGATGGTATTTTGGTCCTCCCTCTGCATATCAAGGGTATTGTCCGTTACTAGAGATATATGGACATCATCAGGGATAGAGAAATGTCTCTGGAACCCAGAGATACAACCCTCGGAAAGGAGGTCTTTCAAATGCTTAGCCATTTTAGTAAGGATTCGGGTATTCTAAATCAAAAATGAACACAGAAAATAGGATTACAAAGAGGAGAAGAAAACTTACGAGAGGCAAAGGAGACACGGAGAGACGGGAAGAAGTTGCAGAAGACACGAGGTAGACGAGGAATTTCGGCTTGCAATCCAGGAGGCCCTAATATTCAAAAAGTATGCATTCGAAGAGACTGGAGTTTCGAATCATAATAAATGCAAAAGATGCACGAATGAGGTGGGAACGTATAATGATGACCGAAAAGCCTGGGTTCTGACATACACATTGGGATAGGCGAAGCCGTCTAATTTATGTTTCTCTTGACTTTTCAAATTCGAAACCAAACACACCAATTAACTGTTGTCAATGAGAAGTTTGGGGGGCAATTGTGGAAGCCGAATAATGGGCAGAGTCAGAAGCGTACGCTTCGAAGGATGGACATTTGTTCGGCTCTAACCTGCACGGTTAGGAGGCTATGGGGCCAAATAAATAAGCAGTTTGAGAGCGAAAAGTGGACCAGGCCTAGATGCCCTGGAAACGAGTATAAATAGAAGAACAACAGTCAAAGAAAGGTATGTGAGAACTATTGTGCTTAATTTAGAATACAAGTAAACTTGAGTGTAAAGACTGACTTGCCCGTCGGAGTGCTAATTCCGGCACCCCCGACCGGAGTATTTATTCATTTTCAGGTGACTAGAAGAGGATCGCTAGCGTCTCCCAAGAACAGAAGAGTATTACCGAAATCACTTCTCCACAGTTTCTATTTTGAAATTAATACACAATAAAAAATAACTACAAATCCTTATTCCTCGGAGAAAATCTCTTCCTTATTATTTGGAAAAAAATCCTTCACCATTCTAGACAAAATCTCTTCATTCCAAGAAGTAAATATCTCTCTTATTACATAGAAAAAAACTCTCCCTCATTTTAGGGGAAAAAATCTCACATTTTTTTCAAAAAAAAATTCTCACATTCAAAATCCTAAATTGTCTGCCTTCTGAAAATCTTTTACTAAATATTGATATGAACTTTCACATTACAAATGCATACTGTTTACGTTATAAATACATATTGATAAATAACGTCTTCTCATAGAAGATATACAATCACAAATACATGTTGATAAATAACGTCTTCTCATGGAACCATATACGCACTCAGGTCTCGTTGGGGAACATACTATTTTAATAATTTTTTGACTTTTTAGTTAAAATATGAGGTAAAAAAAATTAGTATGTTTGGAATGATTTTTTGATTTTTTATGAAAAGACGAGCAAAAAGTAGAGAGAAAATAAAATCTTTGACTTTTTAGTATAGGTTATACACATTTTGATTTTTTTAGTAACTTTTTAACTTTTAAGCTAAAACAGACAATTTCCAAACAAGGTCTCAATGTTATATGAGTGTGTGAACATTAACATTGGGTATGACTATCTATTATATTATAATTAATGTGAACATTCACATCTCTATGTACACGCTATATTTGTTGGAACAATCTTCTGTGAAAATAAAATAAATTGAAACAAAGTCAAACAAATAAATAAATAATGTACCGAATTTATTTATCGAACTGAATTAAAAATTAAAAGCCCAAGTCGAGTGTGAGACACTCTGTCATTAAGACAGATTTGTCCCGCTACTGTGCTTACGGTTGAGTGGCGTCTATCTCCCAGGATACAATGATCTTCACAAACTTGTAGTAGCACTCCAGACAAATTTGTACGGTGAACTAGAACCTTGTGTTCTTATACTCTCTTTATTTTATCTCTAAAACTAGAATGAAGATTAAAATGCAAAGGAGAAAATTCTGGACAACAATATGAAAATTGCAGATTGATTTTTTCGGATTACCAAAACACTGCTAGAATGTTGGTATTTATAGGCAGCACAAGTGCTGTCCGAACAGGTATAAAATTCAAATGACACAGGTGTGGTTTGAATCCAACAGGTGCTGTTTTGAAAACAAACAGATATGCTGCCAGGTTTTGAATCTGTTCGGAATTAACAGATCTGTAACTGTTGGGCAGTTAAAACCGAATCTGTTGGGCAGTTTTTCAGTTTGAATCTGAGAGGAATTTCTGACAGAAGGAGACTTAAATGTTGGACAAAAATTATAATTCAAATTTGAATTAAATTCCCGCAATATTTTTTGAAAAAATTCAAATGAATTTTGTCCAAAAAATTAATACAAGAACCAACCCGTCCCACAATCGCGTAATGAATTTTGTCCAAAAAATTAATACAAGAACCAACCCGTCCCACAATCGCGTCCAGACGGCGGCGACGTGCGTGTGTGGTGGTTTGGGCTAAAGTTTACTTTGTCCATAACTCCTCCCTTCTACAAGCTTGGGGTGCCCCTTGGGGCCCAACTCAAGTGTTGTAGGGTAGAGCTTATATACTTAACAAAACTCTCTTAAAGTTTCAATGTGGGACAAGCCTCACAAGGAAACCCACATTAAAAACTTTAAATGTCCATTCCACGAACCCGAAAACAACATCATGTTCCCATTCACTCATAAATGGTTTTGACAAACCGTTTTCACCGTGTGACTTGCCACGTGACAAGGAACACTTCACATCTTCGGACCCGCCCCAAAAGACGTTCATGGCCCACTCAATTTTGGGCTCAAAGTCAGCCCAAAATAAGCCTATATAAACCAATTTTCCAACAATATTTGTGTTAGTATATCTACTAATATACAACTAACCTTCGTAAAAACAAAACAAATACCAAAGTATCATATGAATATTTACAATAAATAACAAATATATAACTAACTTTAAAAAAAAATAAAAACTCATATCAAAATATAATGTGAATATTAATAGTTTACAATTAACATATAACTACCCTTAAAAAACTACACTCATACTAATGTACATTCACATTGCAACGTGAATAGATAAAACAAAATTGAAAAAATGAAAATCGACTATTTCGATTGTTTAATGGTAACAAAAATGATTGTTTAACCAATAAATATAGTAACAAAAATAATAAATATACAACATATGAAAAAATAAAATTCATACCAAAATATAATATGAATGTTCACAGTTTACAATTAACATACAATTAGTCTAAAAAAAACTAAACTCATACTAATGTGAACATTCACACTGCAATGTGAACATTCACACTGCAATGTGAACATACGAAATAAAATAAAAGAAGTGAAAATTGACTTTTTCAATTGTTCAATAGTAATAAAAATGATTGCTTAACCAAAAAGTATAGTAACAATTAATATACAACAAATCATCAAATAATATATAAAAACTTATTAAATAGTTCATATATATTGACGCACCTTTTTAAAAAAAATTGTATATAATCAACTTCGACTACACAAATCGACGAAAAAATTACGATCTATATATAATGATGACAAAAACAATATAATTGTTCATCGTCAGTTTACCATCATCTCTATTGCTTCTCTTCCAAATGTTTTCCTATGACGAGACCTTATTGTAAAATAATGGTGAAAGAAGATATTTGATCAAGTGAATCCCTCATGTTACCTCTGTTTTGGAAGTTGAGGTCTGGACTTTTTTTGGCTAAAATAATCACAAAAAAACAAAATAGATTTTTTAGCATTATAAAATAAAATATCACATCGAACTCATAATCATTACATTATTTCTCTCACAAAAAGTCTAAAAAGTCTTTTCCAAATGAAACTTTTTAGTCCCAAACCAAAATAGACAAAAAGTTAAAAAGTTAAAAAATAAAAAAGTTAACCCACTCTCCCAACGAGCTCATTGAGACAAATAAAATATTAAAAATAGTAATCTTCCATATTTGAGATTTTTGGAATAATATTCTATATTTATATACAATATATATATATATCATAAATAAAATATATTTAATAATAATTTTCTCTCTCCTAAATATATGGTATAATATATATATAATAATAAAAATTTGTAAAAATAAAATAATTCACACCATACTTTTTTAATATATATTAAAAAAAACCAATTAAACTATAGGGCAAATTACATATACCCCTTGAGGTTTGGCTAAATTACAAATATCCCCTGAGGTTTGAGAAATTACAAATTCCTCTCTGAATGCTATATTTGCATAACAAATTAGGGGGTAATTTGTTATGAAATATAAATCTCAGGGGGCAAATTGTTATGAAAATACAAATCTCAGGGAGCGGGATGTAATTTTCGAAACCTCAGGAGGTATTTGTAATTTAACCAAACCCCGAAGGAGGTATATGTAATTTGCCCTAAACTATAAGTTCACAAAAATATGGATAAGTTCTTTAAATAAGATTTATAAATATTCAATACGATTTTTGTTTTCCCCACCTCCGAAATTCAATTCATGAACTCGGAGTATTGGGGGCGAGCAGAGCACCGTAGCGCATGTTAGCGTAGAGCCATTCTGCGCGGACACCTTATGCAGGGGTTTCTTTTTCATTTCAACCCTCGAGAGAGAGAGAGAGAGCGAGAGAGAGAGTCTGGATTGTGGAGTCGATTTTCTCTCTCTAGCTGAAATCGTGCTTCTTCTTCTGGTTCTAAAACGTAAGTGCTCTTAAACCTTATCGTTGTTAATTAGCTCTGAGATTGATGATTCAGATGTAAGTGTGTGAAACGACACTGAGTTTATGTTCTGAACATTTTGGGACTTTTGCTTTTTTAATGACAACTCATTTTGTGTGCTTTTGTCCTGTTTGTGTCTGTCTATTATTTATTTGTTTTGTTTCATGCTCTGTGCTGTGTGTTTATAGTAAAGAAAATGAAAGACTAAAATGGTTTCTCACAATTATGATTCCAATCACATGAATTAAACCAAATACTCTCTGGTCCCCTGTTTTGAGTGCTGTTAGGCCTTCATTGGTTGTGTTTTCTGAAACAAAAACATTACAAAGTTAAAAAAAAGCTAATCTTTTTTGAATAACCCACACTTATCCACCCAGATTTTTTGGGTGGGTGGTTGTGTGGTGGAGATTAAATTTGTATAGTGCGGGGTCTATATGTAGAATAAATCTGAACACAAGATTATAATTCTGGATAATTTTTAAGATAGTTAAGTCTGGGCTCGTAGTATTACTAATCTTTTTTATTGTGAATAATACTCGAAAATTCAAAAATGAGATTTTTTGGGAAAACAATTCTTGGAAACATTTTGCAAACGTAGTTTTTGTATTTTCTGGAAAATGAAAACATAAATCAAAAATACAAGTGGCAAATTTCTAGGTCCAATTATTAGGACAGGAGTATATGACTTGCACACTCCTGGAGATGTTCATTGGTTTTGATGGAACATGCTCTGTAGTCTTTTTGTTAGATAAAAAATTAGTGTCATGTTTCTATGGAAATTCTACTATATGCACACCCCTAAAAGGGTGATAGTATATGCTTTTTATGTAAATACGCCACAATGATCAGTATCAAACCATTAAATTCATAACTTTGCTCACTACAAAAATTCATAACTTTGATAACTAAAATGGTTCGTATGTTGTACACCGTCGTAACTAGACTACAATGGTTGGTTGCTAACACCACAAAAATGTGTAACTTTTCTTACGATAGAGGAGTGTGTATAGTCATTAGACCCTATAATTAAATATGATGCATTTGGAAAGGATTATCAGGTTTGGGAATATTGTGTTCATTTAGTGAGCGTTAATAGCTATAGAAATGCCATTATTTACTAGTTTATATGCTATGAAGCACGGGTGTAGGTACGGATACGTAGAAATGCCATTATTTACTAGTTTATATGCTATGAAGCACGGGTGTAGGTACGGATACGGGTAGGGGTACGATATGGGTACACTGATATCGCAAATTCTTAAAAAAGTAGGGCACATGTACGGCTGGGTATGCCATTTTTTTTTTAAATTTTTTTTTTAAAATTTTTATAGCTAAACATCCAACATACAAATCAAAGTTTCAATATCAAAACTAAAAAGATAACAACTTGTCTAAAAAGTTATATAATTTATTTTATTTTATTTATTTTTATGGTCTAAAACAGGATGCAAAAGAGAGCAAAACCATGACTCATGGGTAAAGGGTGTTGGAAATAAATTACTTGATGATTTTCGAAATTGAAAGAAAAATAATAAAGGCTACAACAAATTCTAGCAATTGCCAAAAAAAAAAAAAGCACCTCGCCGTACCCGTGACGTACCCAAACGTATTTTCCGTACCCGGCATATATTCGGCATACCCGGTATGTGTACCCGCATTGAGAAAGTACCTAGTACTCGTACGTCACCATTTTTGGAGTACTCGTGCTTCATAGTTTATATGTTATGTTATCTGAGAATATAAATCATTTTGATTGTTATTATGGAAATTATATTGCAATCAATATTTGTGGACGTTTGGCTTGAGTGCTACCATGTTACTCACTCGGAAGTTGGTTGGCTAAATGGTTAATATTGTGCCTTTCTTGTGTTACTTAAAGAGGTTGAAGATTTTTAGAGTAAAAGTACCCCATATGGAGAAATATATTTGGAAGGTGGAAATATAAAACCAATAGTCTGTTTGGAGACCCAGGAGAGTAAAGAAAAGCTATGAAGCACGGACACGGACACGGACACGGATACGGATACGGACATGGACACGGACATGGGACACGACAATTTTCAAAAAATGGGGACACAGACACGGTGAGGGACACGGCGAATTTTATTTTATTTATTTTTATGTATTATGTAGATTCATATTACATTCATCCTAAATTAAAATTAACAAACACTAACATAGTAACATTAATTGAATAAACATAACCATTACATTTAAACAAATTAATAGATTATCCATTCACAAAAAATTCACAAAAAAGTTATAATAAACGATAGCAAGAACTAAGACGAGAAGGGAAAAACATTCAACATCCAACAATATTTTTCACAAAAGCACTAAATAAAAGAAACAAAAGATTAAAAAAAAAAATTAAATTAAATTAAAAAAAAATAAAAATAGCCCTGCCGTGTCCCATGCCGTGTCCCCATATGGACACGCGTGTCCCCACCATGTCCCTGCCGTGTCCCCTACAAAAAAATCATTAAATTAAAGGGACACGCCATCTGGCGTGTCCCATACGTGTCCCCGGCGTGTCCCCGTGTCGGACACCGCCACGGCACTGATTTTGGAGTGTCCATGCTTCATAGAAGAAAAGGGAAGAAAATTTGGTGTTTTCTCTCCCTCTTGTTTTGATAAGCAGAAGAGAAAATAAAGTACCTTTTCTCTTGTTTGGTTAAACTGCATAGGAAAAAAGAAAAGAAAAGAAAAAATGATTACGATTATAACACCAAAATAACCTTTTATATTGCCTTGAAATTTGTGGGCGTTCAGGATAATTATATAGTACAAAATAAATAACATAATACAATGTGCCTAAAAGAATGTATAGATTGAAATATAAAATGGGAAAACGCAAAATCCACAAATAGAGGTCACTGAATCAACAAAAAAGTTCTTAATAAATTAACAGCAAATTACATTGTATTCTTCTTATTTGTAAACTACTACATGTATACACATCAGGAAATCACACCAAATATTTTATATATGGATTTGTTATATACATTCAGAAAAGAACAATGCCTTGGGACTGTTGAAAATGGGTAGAGCTTATTCACCACCACACCCATAACAATGCCCATCTCTTTTATCATGCCCTTGCTGTCGTTGCCCTTCACGATAATTACACCAATCCCCATCATTTTGCTGTTGATTGCTGCGTGGATATTGTCCATGGTTAATGCCAACTAATGCTTGTTAAGAGATTTGTGAACACGCCAGAGTCGCTGTGGCTTGTTGAACAGAATGCATATTTTGCACATGTTGTTCATGAATAAGAAGCTTGGTGGCTCTTAAATCATCAAAAGATGGTGGTTTCTCCCTATTTTTTTATGGCAAACGCATAAGGTTGATAGTTTGGATCATTTTTGAAGACCATTCAAAGTACGAGCCACAAGTTTAGATTCATGTATAGGGTGATTCATTACTGCAAGCTTGTCTGCAAGACCTTTCAATTGTACAAATTACTCATCTGATGAAAGGTTTTTTTTCAAAAAACTTATGTAAACAGTCATGTAAATGATCCAACCGAGCCTGCGATTGTTGCTGAAAAATCATTAAAAAAACTTATGTAAACAGTCATGTAAACGATCCAACTGAGCCCGTGATTGTTGCTGAAAAATCATGTCAAGGGTTTTTCACACTTCACAAAAGGTTTGTGAACCAATAACATGTGCTAACGCACTGGGAGATAGTGTTGCTTTGAGACAACTTACCAAGAACTGATCCATTTGAACCCATGATTTATAGCTTGGATTATTAACCTGTTTATGAGTTTCTTTATCAGCAGTCTTTCTTGAGGGTGCAACAATTGTGCCATCTATATAGCCAAACAGGTCATTGCAAATCAGGATCAATGTAAATTGGTCTCTCCATAACAGAATATTTTTGAATCAAATTTGAACAGATACATGGTTGATAATATTGTGGAGATGAACAGTTAAAGAAGAAAGTGGAAAGAGCTGATGGCCATATCAGTAAGAGAGAAAGAGGGAGACAAAGTAGATGAGAGAGAGATGGCTCTGGCTCCGATACCGTAAAATACTGGAGGACCCAAACAGGGTTGAGAATGTATATTCATATATGGGAAAGATTTGACAAAACCCTCATTTGAATATTTACAATAATACCCACAAATGTGTTCAACATTTATAACATTACATCCTAACACACAGTTTTCTCTGGATGTGCATCTCTTACTAATAAAATATAAGAATGCTTTTAATTAAAATAGGGACTTGAAATTTATTGATCTGTCGTTGTTGTTTACTAAGATTGGTGATAGTTACTGATATGCTTGGTAAATGTGATGGATCTTCTGTGGCAAGGGAATGATAATGAGCTTGAGTGTGATTTGGTCTGGAAAAAATGTCCCTATTAAGGAGAGTGCATTGCTTTATATCCCTGGTAAATTGCAATGAAGTCTTGCTAGAGTTGTGGCTTTGAACATTTGGGAAACAATGAAAAGGAATTTGGACTTTGGTTGGAGGTGATTGCGCGAAGTATGCGCTTTATCACTGCACATGTACAATAAAGCTTGTGCATCCTCGTCATTGGGTTTTGGCATATATGTTGCTTCTGAGGTCTTTTATTTATTTATTTATTTATTTTTGTGTGTGTGTGGATAGTATTAACCCATTTTGTTTGGATTTAGTTAGTGGCTTATAGCAATGATTCATTAGGTTGTAAATGTACCTTCAATCTAATGATACTTCATTAGGCTTCTGTTGTTCAAATCTTTTGCTGTGTTATTCAATTTTATTATATTTAGAAGGATTATGTGATATTACTTTTTTCCTTCATTTCGTCACGAATGATCGTTCAAAATTGTACAGTAGTCTATTGCAAAATCACGCTTAATTTTGTTTCTGTTGCAAAAGTCTAAGCAGAACAGATTATCAGTATTCACCCAAATGAACCTATGAACTAATGCTATCCATTTTATTCTTCCAAGTTTTGAACTTTATAAACCAGATGAGTGACTGCGATAAACACAATTCAAAATTATGATGCTTTATTATAATATTGCTTGGATTGATGAATGATGACTTATGTTGTATGTACTTCCTTGCCAAATTAGATTATTCAAAGTGCAAAGATAAGCTATGAGTTCTAGTAATCGATCTAATGCTGACAAGGGGCATGGGGATGAAGCTGCAGTTGCCCAATTAAATGAGTTTGTCTTGGGGGATCTAATATGGGTTAGGCTCTGTGGCTCCTCGTGGTGGCCTGCACAGGTACATGGAAGTGTCATTTTTTTGCAGCATTTTACATTTGATTCTTGATTTGACACTTTATGACTTTATTAGTGTGTTATGAATGTTTTTGATTGTTTTCCTATTTACTTGTTTGTTTATTGGTTTGGTAGGTTGTTGATGATAATACTGTGAGTCGGAGAGATAAACCCATAAACAGATCAGTGGGTGAAGTTCTTGTTCGACTATATGGAAGCTATAAATAGTTGGTGGTTTTATCCCTGCGTGGTTGTTTTGCATTTTCAACTGTTTATTGCATTTATAAGCTTGCCTAACTCGTCTTATTTGTACAGCATGTATGCGGATCCTTTGTCAAGTCGCTCAGAGTTTGAGAATGTAAATATCTGTTCATGTCTCCAACCATGCGAAGTTTTGCTTTCCTAATCTTAAGTAGAAACAATTATCAGTTGAGTTTCATCAAATTTCCAAATTTATTCCTTTGTGTCCAATCATACACCGTGTTTGAATCCAGATACTCAAGCAAAACAATGGTAACTATGGTGAAATACTTATGAAAACTCTAGAGCAGGTAGTTATTTTCTTTATTTTTTGCATCTTTTTATCAATTCTAGCAAGTGGTAATTTCTTCAATAATTCAATATGGCTATAGGATCTTGTGGGCTTCAAATCTGGTAGAGCGAAGGGGAAAGAATCCATATTCAAAGGTCCATGTTCAAAGGTCAGCCCATTTCTCATTTGGTCATGCTCATAACAATTACATGATTGATTTTTTTAGTAATTCATGCAATGCCACTGCCACTAATATTAAAATATAAGAAGGAAAATGCTAGAGGCCTCAAAATTTCTACCAAATATTTTACCAAATGTCTCACATGGATGTGGACCCCACACTTATGTAGGACCCACCCCATGTGAGACATTTAGTAAAGCATTTGGTAGAAATTTTGGTATCCCTAGCATTATTCATATAAGAAACAACGTACTTGTGCAGATGTTTCACACATTTATTTATTGAATATTATCTGTTCTTTAGAAGTGAAAAAGTATTAAAACTCCATGATTGGACATTGAAACAATTAAAAATACTTCAAAGTTATCATGGTCAAAACACATTCTTTTTTCCTTAAAAAATTTAGTTGTTATTTTTCTAGAGTCGTGTTTTGGGGTTGGCACGTGTGATGACTTGTTCATGTTGAAGCATGCGAAGGCGTGTAGGCAGTGAGCATGAGGTGTCGTGCAACCCTTTGATTTCCTTGCAGTTTCTTTGATTTTTGAGTTGTGGGACCGACTATTCACTGCTCTAGAGTTGTATGAGTACCGAGTGATGTTTTGTAGACATTTGGGCATCTTATCATTTCGGATTGTCATGTACTGCAATTTTATAGGTTTTTCTAATAATCATAAATATTTTTGAAATTCAAAATTTTTTTGGCCCAACCATGCTTTTCCGTTCCTTTGAAATGTTTGGATATGAATGTAGTATTTGTTATGAGGATCGTTTTGTAATTGAAAAATTGCAAAATTTGGTTGAGTTTTGAGGTTGTTTGGGAGTTGCTATAGTATGCACTATTAAAAATCAACAACACTACAAACCTGGACTTATGAACTCATAATTTACCCAGAAAAAGGAATCAATGATTCAAATTCATTTTGCTCATGGACCCTACACTTCATCAATTTAATCTCTACCATACAAACACATTCGGGGTAAATTAGGGGTTGATAAGGGTGGTTTCATTGCAGTTTTGATTAAAAATGAACATTACCATATGCACCCTACCACAATGTATGTAACATAACTACGACGTTCCGTAACAAGCACCACATGATGAACTTTTTGACCAAAAAGCTTTGTAGCATTGCTCACCACAAATGCTTGGTAACATTTACACTACACCATTCATAATATAACCACGATGGTTTGTAACCTCTATTTTAGTAGTGTACACCATAGTCTTACCCATTCCTAACTTTTACAACAAAGTGGTATAACTAACATGTAATGACCCGGAATTATTTATTTATTAAAATCATTACATAAATTTTAATTGAATGGTGTGATGGACCATGTGGTTAGTGATTGTTTTAATATTAAAAAATCATTTGTAGAATAGTTTAGGATGATTGAAACAAAATTTTTAGTTTGATGCACAAGTCTGGGTTGAAATTTGTATCACCTAGTTAGAGACCTTAACTTTATGAATTTTTAAAAATAGTTGCACAACTCAGAAGTTTATGAAATTTTTACAAGGTTCATATATTCAGATCAAAGCTCTTACAGATGAGTTTTATAAAATTATTGGATCGAGTGGTATTTGAATTGGGTGCTGTGCAAATTTTTTGTGCAAAAATGATGCGGTTTTTGTATTTTGTTAAAATAGTTCCCCATCTTAAAAAATTGTGAAATTTTTATGTGTTGTTCCCGTTGAATTTAGTATATTGCGTAAATATTTTAGAGTGAAATGATAAGTATTTAATTTTATGAAATTCACTGATTGATCGATGATCAGTTAGCAATTAAAGCATAATTTTGTATTTGAAATTCAATTTTTCTGTTAAGGTTACGTTAAAACCATGACTTGAGATAAAATTTGTTGGGTCTAGTCTAGTGTATATTTGGGTCATGTTTGGCTCATGGATAGGAATTTAATTCAAGAACCATGACCCAAAATCGTTATAATTTGGATTTATGCGTGTAACTCATGCTTAACTATTTGGTCCATTTTCATTATGTGAATGGTAGGGACTCCCTTGAGAGTAGGTGTTATTGTGTGTTACACTAAATTATAGCAAGTATTTGAATGACGAATTTATGGTGTGTACCATAACGTAAGTGAACAAAAAGTCGTATTTTTGTGGTGATAAATTATACCATTTTATGGTGTTATTACAATAAATATTTCACTATATATAGGTGTATATATATTGCACTGATTGATGGGTTTTGAATAGAAAATAAAATCCAAAGAGAAAGAGAAAGAAAGTGAGGGACAAGCCCACGTGGGCTGTCCTTGTCTTCTTCATTTCATTACTCTTCTTTTCCTTCTTTTTCTTTCTTTTCTTCTTCCTGGTCGATTTCGGCAGAGAGTGGAAGAGAGACAATCTCTCTCTCAATCAGAGTGTTTTAGAGTTGCATTTTGTGAATTTTTTGAGAAGGAACATTGTAGATCGCGTCGAGAGCTACGCGACTACCATCTTCGATTTTTGATTCATCAGATATGACATTTCGAGTTTCCTCATCTTCACTATTTAAGGTAGGGTTTTCTCTATTTTTATTGCTTTAAAATCAACGTTAGAGTTATTTTGAGAAAATATATCATGATAGGAGTTGTATTGCATATATTTTTCTCATGTTTATGAGTAGGTAATTTATTTGAGGAAATCATCTTGTCTTTGTTAAATTTTTTTCAAAAATCTCATTTTGAGATTTGAGAGTGTTTTTGGAATAAAACCTCTAAAAGTATACTAGTCAAACCATTTGATGAATATTGATATAAAGATTGTTATATTTTGTTTATTTTTGTGAAAATGAAAATGTAAGATTTGGGCTTTTGAACTTCAAACCTTAAAGTATACTCTTGGACATATTTAGGAAAAATTGTTAACTTTGGAAGTGTCAAAATTGTTAAGTGTAGAAAATTTAGGAAAAATAAGCTATTTGAGTAGTTTGACATTAAATGTGGTTAGGTTTGAAGGATGGGAAATTCTAGATTACATTAGATATTTTTCTTTGAATTTCTAGATATAATGAGCTTACTTAGTGGATTGAATTAGTTTTGCTATTATCTTGGATTCTATGTGATTAAAGTATTTTATTGTGACTATATCATGACTTTTAACATAGTCAGAGTAAAATGGTGAGATTGACCAAGTATGAAATTTAGAGAAAATCATTATGATTAGTTTATTTGGTGTGGAACAAAGTTTGATTCAAAAGAATTGTTCAAGTCAAAGTGATTTGGTATTTGATTACTAGTTTTACTAGTGACAGATTTTGACGTGTTATTTTCATACCTTAAATTCATAAATGAGATATTTGAATTGTTTGAAAAAAAAAAAAAATTATGATAAAAGGGAAAGTGGTGAATTTTAGCTCGTTTAGGACCAATGGATGTTTTGGATTAAACTGACTAAGTGGATAATTTATCACTTTCGATTAACTTGATGAAGTTAATATTGCTAAAATGGTAAAAGAACACTTATGGTACATTTCACAATTATAGTCAAAAGAGGATTTTGGGTATAATGGCTAAGTGTTGAAAATACCTTTAAGTATAGAATTGGTTTTAACTATGTAGTAACTGGATGCTATGTTTATTATACTTAGTTGAATTTCGGACTTTGTGCTGGTATTATTTATTTTATGAACGTGGCCCTGGTTGTGGCTTATAGTCGGGTATTATTGGTCCAGGTTGTGGGAGATAGTGGTACGAACTATCTGCGGTATAGAACCCGAACACTGCGCAATTGAGAGGAATAGTAACCTCTGTGGTTGTGGATGGAGTTTCTTTCTGACACACAGCTCGGATTGAGGCTGGGGTGTGATCAAGGTAGGACCAATTATTGTTTTTACGGCTCGGACACGGTATTGGTGACGAGACAGGTTATTGCCCTGTTGGTGTTTATTATGATTTATTTATTTATTTAAGTTAACCTAGTGTGAGTTAATTAAATAAATTGGACTTAAGGCCCTGTTGGCAAATGGTTTTAGATTATTTCTTTATTTAAGTTAACTAGGTTGAGTAAATTAAATAAATTGGATTTATTGTCCTGTTAGCAAGTATTGAGGCCCTGTTGGCAGTCACTGTAGTTGTTTAATTATTTAAGTTAACTGGTATGAGTTAATTAAATAAAAATGGAATTGAGGCCCTAATGGTAGTTACTATAATTGTTTTTTTTTTGTTTATATTTATTTAAGTTAACTGATTTGAGTTAATTAAATAAAATGTAGTTTGTTTTTTTTATTTAACTGGAACGAGTCACTTAAATGAAATGGAATTGATGCCCTATTGGCAGTCACTGTAGTTTATTTAATTGTTTAATTGAACTGGATGAGTTAATTAAATAGGTAGGGATGAATGTCCTGTTGGCAGTCTTATCATATTTCGGTTTATTATTTATTTAAATTAATTGGTATGATTAGTTAAATAAATCTAATTTAAGGGATTAAGTAATTAAATCAGGAAATTTGGCATGGTATGATATTATGTATATATAGTATCACTGTACCTGCATGTCTTTTAAAGTAATGCTATGAGATTATTTGGTTAGTGTGTGCCTCTACCAGAGAGTTGTAGGTGGATGTCTTCAGGCTTGAGGATTAAACATCTTGTTTTGTTACATTATTTTCATAATGTGGTGATGAGTCGTAGAGCTTCTATTTGTTATATTCGTCTTCGGGCTTTTCTTTGTTTTCTTTGGCTGAGCGCATTTCTTTTGTAAAGGGCAATACCCTTATTATTATTGTAAGTCTGCGGGGCATTCTGTTTGTAAGGAGCATATTATATTGAATGCAATGCACGGAGAGTGGGTTTACGGTTTTTTCCATCCATGGTACTATCGTTTACTCCTTCAGTTATATCACCTTTTGAAATAAAGAATTCTGAAGGTATTTTCTCGTGTGCACTTTGGGAAAGTAAAGAAAATTGTTAAGGAAAAGCATGTTTGATTATTAAATGGATGAGAATGAGATTTCTTTTTGAAAAAACCTCGTGCTTAGATTAATTAGTTTTTGTCTAATTAATCTTGAAAAATCGGGGCGTGACAAACAACACAAAGTAGGGTAATATTTCTTAAGGTGTGCCCTCATGCATAGGTTAATTGTTTTTACGGTGCACATCATAATTTTTTTCAATTTTGAATGTTTGAAAATTTTATGGTTATATATAATATATATATTCTTGAATTGCCATGTTTGGGGATTGTTGGGATGCTTCTTTTGATGTGGCTTTTCCGCACTTGTATAGAGTGGCTCATTCACACAGTATTTCAACTGCTTCCCTAGCATGCTTTACTTTGGCACCAATTTCTTGGAATTTTAAATTCGTTAGAAGCCTTAATGATAGGGAAACTTGTGAGTTGGTTTCTTTCTATCCTGGATTGGTTATGTTTCTTTGTCCCCGAATACGTGTGATAAGTGGGTTTGGCTCATACACTCTTCTGGTGTGTTTTCATGTAAGTTTTGTTTCGATAAAATCATTGATAAACCTGATGTGCCTCCTTTTCCTTTTCATAAAAGAATTTTGAAATAGTTTGTGCCTTTCAAAGTTAAGATTTTTATGTGGCCTTTGGCTCATGGAAGTGTTTTGACTAATGATACTTTTAAAAGAAAAAAGACCCTTTCGGTATCTTTGCCCTCAGTGATGCATCATGTGTAGGAGGAATGGTGATTCATTGAATCACTTGTTTTTGCATTGTCCCATGGCTTTCAGCCTTTGGCATAGATTTTTCTTTTGGTTGGTTTAGACTTGGTGGCTCCGTTAGAGAGTGCTCACATGCTTTTAATTGATTTATGTGGTTTTGGCGCTAAGAAAATGGCAAAAGTTCTGTGGTCTTGTGTGGTTTTTGCAATTTTTTGGGTCATTTGGTTGGAAAGGAATGCAAGAATTTTTTAGTGCAAATTTGGAGATTTTTATCCTTTATGGGATACAGTGTGGTTTTTTGCTCCATTTTTGGCTTCAGTTTCCCTACTGTTTAAAGGGATCCTTCTTTGTTTGATTTCAAGAGATTGGATGTATGTTTGTTTGTGATTGTGATATTTGATTTCTTTTTCTTTTTTTTTTAACCTTGTAGAGGATTTCTCCTCCTCCTTTGTACCTCTTTTCTTTATGATAAAATCTTTTTCTATTGCTGATCAACCAAAAAAAAAAAAAAAATGGTAAAATCAGTTGTCATTTGTCGCAGATTTCCTTGTCCGTAGGTCCAATATTAATTTTCATCTCTTCTTGCCATCGGTCAAAATTATTTATACTCATATCAATGTACGTATACAATTTATGCCACACTAATATGTTGATTATTTATTTATTTTTTTGGTCGACGGCAGTTGAACGCCCAACTGCTCCCTTGCAAACACCTAATTGCTGCCTCCATGCCACTAGGGCACAAGCCATGGCAATCTATTGTTTACTTTATCTATTTCATTAATCCAGGAATTTTTTATTTTTTGTTGGGTCTCAGTGATTTGTTATTTTACTTATGATTCATTCCTTATATTTTGGATTAGTTTTTATGTTTTTTGTCTGGACATAGTACTTGTACTTTGCTAACATATTATTGAATATTATAACTATTGCCCTAATAATGTCCATTTATAATAAGAAGCATAGTGATGAAAACGTAACTCCAATTACGGAATGGTTATGGGGTCAATGTTCCATTGCCAACTTGTTTGGTAATATAGTTTAAATGCACAAATTGTTTCTTCATGTTAAAAAATGTTTGTTTGTTATTGTTTTGTTCTCATTTATTGCCCTATAGCTTTAATCTCTTCAATGTGCACTTGCCAGCGACATGGGGTTCTTGGTTTTGCTCACATACTTTCAATGGAGACATTTTCAAATTGTATGTATGCCATATTTAGCTGTCTCACAAATTCACTGCCACCGATAATTACTTGGCTACCGAAGTTCGATTTTTATATGCATATTGTGTGGTGCCTTGTATTGTTTAAAACAAACTCAACCAAAGCTTTTCACTTTCTCAAATAGTTTGTGTGGTGCCTTATATTGTTTAAAACAAACTCAACCAAAGCTTTTCACTTTCTCAAATAGTTTGATACATGCAATTTGCAATTTTTTTTTTACCTCCATTCATTTTATGTATAAATATATGTGCTACCTCAATTTATAATAGGGAACTTTTAGAATTTTATGGACAAATTTCATTTATCTTAATCATACATTGAAATGATTGTAAATCTCATATCCACATTTTAACTTGTCTTTATGAACATCATTTATAATTTTGAATGCCACACCCACATTATAATTAGTTGTGTACTCTTAAAGTGGAATAGCAGACATTGCATTACTCAAGGTTACCATTGTTCCATCATTGGTCTAGAAGGAGATTCATTTTTTCGTTGGGATTGTCTTTGACTCTTTTTATATACGTCCATTATTATACACATTTATTTCACCATCAATGTCTACTACTAATCACTACATACTCTTCAATTATGAATGGTTATGGATAAAGCATGTTCAACTTCACGCATGCAGTTTTGTACATACTGGCCTCTGTGATGGGTGCCAGTCACGGGTGCAAGACCATCCTGTGCTGTTGTGCAACTTCATACTGTGATGTAATACTGGACTCTGCCGCAAGGGTGCAAATCACCTAGGTGCAGGGTGCAAGTCCACTTTGTGCTGGGGTGCAACTCCATGCTGTAGTGGGTGTAAATGAAGCTGATTTTGCATACGGATTACATTAAGTTTATCACCCTCCTTTAGGGAACTCTTGTTATCCTAAGTCCATCCAAAATATGGATCTTCACCCTTTTTTGCCTCCAAATCCTTCGTATGATTTGGTCGGGTAATGTGAAATTTTGAATAATACACAATAACAACTACTTTCAATAATCAATCATCTTAACTTCATTATTGTTGCACTTTTCCTTTATTTTATTTAATGATGTTCAACTCTATATCTTTCAGATATGAGTAGCACCAATAGCGGAACAAAGAGTTTGACTTGCTTTTGTTATTGGGGTGGAGAGCGGAAAATCACTAACAGTGGTACTTTCAACTATGCGGGGGGCGTTTCAGAACCTGTCCTTGCACATGACAACATTTCATATGATGAACTCCTCCATATTGTATGTTCTTGCCTTCAAATAACTCTGAATGACAAAGTCCTTTACTACAACACAAAAAGGGACAAGACCAAATACCTCCGACTAAAGGACCAACAGGGAGTTACGATGCTTTTCTATTTGAATGAAGATGAGGTTGACATTTTTGTTGAGGAGACAGTCCGCCGCAATATAGATCTGAATTTCATTAGTAGTCGGTTCGTGTCGCAAGTGTGGTTTTTTTTATTATTTAGTATTTTTATTTGTAACACATTTTCCTACTGTTTATATTGACACATTCCTATATTTGTCTTCCCAGGGGCTCAAATTTGGAGGTTGACACCTTGCCCCCAAGTAGGGGAGTCACACCTTCCCATTCCCAAAGTCATGTCAACAGTAGCAACAACAATGAGATGGGAATCATACCGTACTCTGAGGAAAGGGCCAACGAGCTTCTAACTGGGGAGGGGCAATATTTTGACAACCCCGAGCATTTCAAGCAAGCCATCACAGTGTACTCTGCTATCAACAAGTTTTCATACAAGTATTTGGACAATAGTAGGGCATACTATAGGATAGTCTGTACAGTGGATGGATGTCGTTGGAAGCTCACTGCTAGATGTGAGGGAAGAGAGTGATATTGTTAGAGTCATTCGATTTCGAAAGCAACACACCCACACAGCACAAGATGTGCGTAACTATCAGCCACGTTTCCGAACAGGCCACCTTGGGAGTCTATTCAAAGACAAAGTCATGGACAAGCCAACTTACTTGGCGAGGGATATATGTAGGGAGTTTGAGGAAGCATATTCCATCCGGTTGTCTTACATGCAAGGTTGGAGGGCAAAGGAGCATGCAAAAGCATGCATCCGAGGACCGCCATCAATGACATACAACCTAATACCATGGATGTGTGAGCGCCTCATTCAATCAATTCCGAACACGAGGGCATTTTGGACACGTACTGAGGAAAGCAAGTTCAAGCAACTGTTTGTTGCTTATGGATGTTCTATCACGGGCTTCATGGCAGGTTGTAGGCCATTGCTATTCATTGATGCGTGTGATTTGACCGGGCCATATCAGGGTCATCTCCTTTCAGCGACTGCTCATGATGCTGACGACAACCTTTACCCTTTGGCATATGCTGTGGTGTCTTCGGAAAACGACGATGATTGGCTATGGTTTGCACAGAACCTTAAGGAAATTTTATGTCAACATCAGGTTGTATTCGTTACCAATCGAAAGCCATCCTTGTTGAAGGCAATGACAGATGTGTTCGGAAGTGATTGCAATGCATGGTGCCTTCGTGACTTGAAGGAAAACTTTAGCAAATTTGCAAGCTCTAAGATGATTAAGGGAAGCAAAAAGCAGACAACATTGAGAGTTCTAGACCAAATTGCATATGCACGGACTGAACAACTCTACAGACTGCATTTGACAAAGCTAACTGCAATTGACAAAGATTTGGGCAAATGGGTAGAGGAAAGTGCTCCTCGTCAATGGGCTAATGCGTTCTTCCCCTACAAAAGATGGGACAAAATGTACATAAACCTTGCTGAATGTTTTAATTCTTGGATCTTGCCTGAGAGAGACTTAGATATTTTTCAGTTAATGAAAGGCCATGTTGACAGAACGACAGAAATGTTACTTCGGAAGCAGACAGAGGTCCAATCTTGGAAATTGCCCGTCGGTCCCAACATTGAAAAAATGATTAAGTTATGCCAGGATCAATCCAATGGATTCACGCATAGAGCGACTTCTACTTTTGAATTTGCTGTCACTGATTGTGATCACAAGACATTTGCAGTAAAGTTAAACCCATCATATTGTAGCTGCTTGGAGTGGCAAATGACTGGAATTCCATGCCCACACGCTTGTCGTGCAATTCATGGTGCCGGCTTAAGTGTATATGATGCGGTTGACCCGATGCTAACAAGGCAAACCCAGTTGGTTATTTATGCTTCTATTATGTCCCCTGTGCCATTGCATGACATCCCATCATCAGTTGCCCCAATTGTTGCCGTTCAGGGAACTAATGACTCAGCAAGTACTACTTCGACTTTGTCCATGGCACTATTCCCTCCAACCACCAAGCGGCCACCAGGTCGCCCAAAGAAGAAAAGAATGGAGTCCCAAAGCCTAGAAAAAAATACTGTTTATTGCGGAAGATGTTGGGAGCCTGGGCATAACCGGGCCACGTGCAAATCTCCATGGCCAGGTTAATTTTGACTATATTAACATTCAATGAAGTTGTAGATATTTTATTTGTCTTTTAATAGTTCACTTTTATATGGTGAAACTTTACAATTATGTCACTACCAACTACGTGATCCTGTGGCCACAAAACCTATGTTATACATTGCCTAATCCTAATTCCATTACTTGTTATGGGCAATTGCTTATCATAAACATGCACCCAAAAAATGTTGAAGCTGTGTGAAAGTCTGCTATTTATTGCATCCCATTGAAGCATATCATTTTTCCCACTATCCCACTTATGTTACATAGATGTGTATTTTTCCAAAACATAGCACAATTGTGCAGTTGTGGTTTGTTTGCTGAGGTCAGCACTAGGGCAATTATGCTCAATTACTCTCCAATGCATGAAAAGACAAATAGGCATCCATCATGTCATATCATTTTCTTGGCAAACATCATTGGAGAATGAAGTACAGGACAAACAATCACCATAAGGGACTCGAATATAATAGAACAAATTGCATTAACCATATCATTTTCTTGCCAAAACCATTTTCCTGCAATATTAATGACATATTTTGGTGCTTATGTTATCTGTTTTGTATCTAGTGGTTCCACAATACTTTACCCACATGCCTAATGTTGATCCTTTCTCAACGTGGACCAAATATATTATAGTTTAATTTTTATATTAGCTGCTACTTTCCTTGGAATGGAAGTGCAATTTATGGGACCAACTATGGTACGCAAAGAGGGTATTTGCGTACCATACGTAGAAATGATTTTGAGCCTTTGGATGAGAAATCTGAGATCTTGACCATCCAAAAATAAAAATGGCAACTGGTTATTACCAGTCAAGCAAAACTGTGCCGTTTCTCCTCTGTTTCATTCTTTCGTTCCGCAGTTCATCTTCTCCTTCCCCAAAATTCTGTGTTTTCATGGCTCGATCTCCCTCCCTTTGATTCTGTGTTTCTGACGGTCAACCCTCCCTAGTTCTTCCCCATTGCCCTAGCCCTAGTTTCTCTCTCTCTCTCCTTACTTTGTCTTCTCCTCTGCAGTGCCAGAACCTGTCAAAGAAGATGTACAACGGCCAATCGCTTTGGATTTGGCTAGAGAGCTTTTCTAATCTATCACCGAAAGCAGCAAGCTCCTTCAGGTACCTGCATTTTTTGTTTAATTTTTTAATCTAGTGTGGGTTTTTTACTGTAGTTATGTTTGATCATGATTTGTGTGAGAATCAGTTTACTTGATTGTTGAGTAAGTAGGGGACAACAAAGAAAATTCATACCCATGATTCTAGAGTTTTTGCTTTGTCAGGAAAAAAAAACAATAATTCCTCTTAAGATTTGTTCAATTATATGGTTCACATAAAGGTTGGGTTATTGGTAGGAAAGTTAAAAAGTAGAGAATTCTAGCTTTATTTTCCTGCTAATTTCCAGGCATTGTTGTGCACAAAAGCTGCATTGATTTTTTTGTTTTTTGTTTTTTTTTAAGGTTGTAGATAAACACTCATAAATTAAAATCACGAATCCATCATCAACTTATTCGCAATTGATTGCTTTCTCTCCCCGAGCATTATGAGTTCATAAATTTCTGAATTGTGTACTTGTACTTAAGTTTGTATTTTTATTTTTTGTTTTTTATGGATTGCTAATGAATTCCTGCAAATTGTTGAAGCGAAATTTACAAATTTGAGTAAATGCTAGATTTTGAAATAATAGCTCTCTATGGATGTTAATTTGGGATCTACCAATTTCAGTGAGTTTATTAAGCAAGTTGCTGAAGTCCAGTGTATGGTGGTGGGTATCTAGAGTCTAGCAGAAGGAAGGGAGAGGATAAGGCTTACTATCCAGGTGTGAAGTGAGGGAGAAGGTGTGTGGAAAAGAGGAGCTCCAGTCGAGGTGTTATATATAGCTCCCACCACAAAGTTCTTTGTTTCCATATTCATCCATCTGCAATGTGAGTTCATCCATATTATATTCTCATTTTATTTTTTCTTTGTCAAATGCAGAGCATCCGTAGATTGTCAATGGAGGAGAGAGCTAATCAAGACTAATGTGACATGATAATTAGAGCTTCAAACTAACACACCTTTGATGTACAAACACCACCATGATTTTGAAAGGATAGTTCGTTTATTTTCTTTGTTGTTTTTTAATTTTATTTTAATATCATGAAGTGATGTAGTAGTGCTTGTATGTAAATAACCTAGAAGTTATATTTCTTTTTGTATGAAGAAGTGACAGAGAAGTTGTGTTTCTATGGAATGAATCTAGGAAGTTGTACAACGTGGGCACGTATAGGGTCAAAAAAATCGGAAAAATTTGCAAACCAGTCTGATCCTCTCTAAACAGCTAGGTTTGGTTTGGTTTGGTTTTTCCAGTGCGCTGTTCAGTATTGGTTCTTAAAATAAGAGAATTGTACGTTACAGTCCGGTTTGTGATTTTATAGTCATGGTTTCGGTTTAGAACTGAACAAAACCATTTAGATGTATACATGTACTTGAATCCATTTACGATCCCGTTTCCAGGCACATTGCACTTCTACTCGGGTCGAGGCTGCCATGCGGCCCTAAGATGGTTAAGCAAATTGCTGAGATTCTGGTTTGTACGGAATATGGAGTCGTTGCTTTCAAGTATAACTTGCGTGTTAAGCGCACACAAGGGAACATATGGGTACAAATTGTCCCATCCCAAGCCTTTAGCTCTCATGAACCCATGAATTATATATGTTAGTATTTGTTATTTTATTAGTATCCCAAGTTTTTAATCTTATAATAACAAAATTAGTTTTAAACAATCATTCAAATAATTATTATTTGTAAAATGATGACATATTATTTGATGTTTGTGTATGTTGTAATTATATTGTGCACAATGACAATGTTTATAACAAGAGAGATGTTATAATGTGCATCCTAAAAAAAGTGAATATGATGTTCCTTTTTCACAAAATTTTTTAATTTAAACACAAAATGTCAGAATTTTTTCACTATAAAAGTCATAACTTTTATTCACTAAAAAATATCATAATAAAATTTCAAAGTGTCATAATAAAAATCACAAAATATCATAGCATCATCATTTTTAATTTTAGGGTGTACATCATAAATTCGTTATTCATAACTTTATTATTCTTTCTGTTCCAAAACATTAGTTTCTTATTTTGTTTTTTATTGTTTCAAATATTAGTCTCTCTCAAAAATTTAGGATTAAAATATTATAAATTTTTTATTTTGTCATTTTTTTAAATTCATTAACAACACAAAAAATACAATTATGACAATTGATATTTTCAAAAAAATATACTATCAAAGGTAATTTTGAAAAATTAATATTTTAAAAATGAAATAATTATACCATCAAAAAGATTTTGATTTTCCAAAAGGGACTATTATTTTGGGATAGAGAGTATAAAATATCGTAATACACATTACAGATAATCATAACTTTTATCATAAAAAAATCGTAACTTTTTTTACGATGTGCACCATTTTATAGGGTGCACATTGTAGATTTCTCTTTATAAAGATTGTTGTTCCAAACCATATCAAATTATATTTTTATAGTTTGATTTGATTTCAAATTTCATGAAAACATAAGTAGTACTTTGATTTGGATTTACTTAAAAATAGAACCGAATTGAACAACGCTTCCTCCTAGAACAAGTTTTCTCCATAGTTCATCTCTCCATATTCATCCATACTCCTCTTGTGGGTTTCAATTCGGACTCACCTTGATGATTTAAACCTTCTACTTTAGAGGTTTCACAGTAAAAGTTATTTATACAAAGATTAGATTTATTAGACAATTATAAATACAATAACAAATCACGTTTTGTTTTACCAATTGATTGAGCATTTTATTGGTATTGAGCATGTTGCCAATGCTACTGCTCTTTTGCTCAAGCAAGCTATGGAAAATTTATTTTCTAGACTTGGATTGAATATTTCTAGACTGCGGGGTCAAGGATATGATGGGGCTAGTAATATGCAAGGTGAGTTAAATGGTCTTAAAACACTTATATTGAGGGAGATTCCTCGTGCATATTATGTTCATTGTTTTGCTCATCAGTTGCAATTGACTCTTATAGCCGTGACAAAGAATCATGGTCAAATTGCCTTACTCTTCACTTTGGTTACTAATGTAGTAAATGTTGTTGGAGTATCATGTAAACGTCGAGATATTGTTAAGAATAAACAAGCAACAAAAGTTGTTGAAGCACTTAATATGGAAGAGCTATCAAGTGGGCAAGGTTTAAATCAGGAAACCAATCTCAAACGTGCTAGTGATACACATTGGAGTTCACACTATGGTACTTTAGTTAGTTTGGCTGGTATGTTTTCAACAGTGATCGATGTGCTTGAAATGATTTCAGATGATGGTTCAAATTTAGAACAACTAGTAGAAGCAAATGTGTTGCTGGACTCAATTCAATCTTTTGAATTTGTATTTAATCTTCATTTGATGATGAGAACGATATTGGCTATTACAAATGAGTTATCACAAGCATTACAAAGGAAAGATAAATATATTGTTAATGCTATGAATTTGGTTCAAGTTTCTAAAAGGCGACTCCAAATGATGAGGGAAAGTGGGTGGACCTCTTTACTTGATGATGTTTCATCTTTTTGTGAAAAGCATGAAATTGATGTTCCCCAAATGGATGATATGTTTATAACTCAAGAGAGAAGAAGGTGTAAAGCTAAAGAAATTACAAATTTATATCACTATCGCGCCGAGTAATTCTACACTATTTTGCATATGCAAATTCAAGAACTATATACTCGTTTCACTGAGTCAAACACTGCGTTGCTACTTTCTATGGCATGTTTGAATCCATCCGACTCATTCTCTAGTTTTGACAAGAAAAGTTTAATTCATCTTGCTGAATTTTATCTAAATGAATTTTCTACAGTAGAGTTCATGGTGCTTAATGATCAACTTAATACATGTATTATCGACATACTCTCTAGTAGTGAGTTCTCATGGTTAAATGGAATTGCCAATCTTGCTAAGAAAATGATAGAGATTAGAAGAGATAAAGTATATCCATTGGTTTATTTGCTCCTGATTTTAGCATTGATCTTGCCTGTTGCAACTGCTACTGTTGAGAGGATATTTTCAGCTATGAATATTGTGAAGAATCAGTTGCGGAACCGAATAGGTGATGAATGGATGAATGATAGCTTGGTGGTTTACATAGAAAGAGGCATTTTTGATGGCGTTGATAATGGTACTATCATGGAAAACTTTCAAAAGATGAAAACTTGCCGGGGTCAATTGTGAAAGTTTAGTGATATTTTTGTAATGAATGAAAACTTGTCGGAGTCAATTGTGAAAGTTTAGCGGTATTTTTGTAATGAATATTTAAGTTTTTATGATTAATATTAGCTCAAAATATTATGATCATTTTATTGTTATTAATTAGGGAAGAAAAATTTTGAGATTGTAATTAATAGATGCCCTTCTTACATAAAATTTCTGACTCTGTCACTGGGCATAGTGTGTGCATAAATGGTGAGTAACCATTCATATATACACATAATATAATTCCACACATAACAAATAGTGTAACTGTGTTGTGCTTGTGTTTTGGATTTTGGGTGAAGGAGAAAAAAAGATATAAAAATAAAAAGTGAAAGAAGTTAGATTTACTTTTATTAAATTAAGAATAATAAAAATATAGATAGGAATTTATTAAAAAAATAATTATTGTTTATTTTTAATAAGAATGAAAGATATAGTTCGGTTTCACCTATTGGCCATGTAACTGGTCTCCTTTCGATTAACTATTTCATAAATTTTTTAGGTCCCAATGCATAGATCATCTATAAAAAAACAATCAATCCATAAATGTAGCAATGTGATTTTATCATTTTTTTTAGAGTTGGCCCAGTGGTTGTCTCTTGGGTCAGTGAGAAGTTCAAAGGTAATTTAACTTACTAATTCCTTAACATCATATAGTATGACAATTTTTTTTTTATTATCATTTTTATCATTTAAAAAATGTACAACAAATATAAGGGTTTTTTTTTAAGTCTTTGATATTAAGATTTTATATCATAAATGACATTTAATATTTTCATAATGTCTAAGGTCCCTCAACATTGATCCAGAGAAATTTTAATTCAGAGAAATTTTGGACTTCTCAAGGAATTTCGTTGGTTTAAACCAGAAAAAATTCAAATTTCTCTGGGTTCAAACCAGAGAAAATTGAACAACACAAAGAAAATTACCCAGAGAGAAAATTCAAATTTTTCTGGGTTCAAATCAGAAAAAATTGAACAACACACAGAAATTTACCAGGAGAAAATTGAAATTTCTTTGAGTTAAAACCAGAGAAATTCAGAGAAAATTGAATAACACAGAGAAAACTAAATGGAGCAGAGAAAATTAACCAGAGAAGATTGACCAGAACAAAATACTAACAAGTTCCTGCAATTTTCTCACCAAAATACTAAATTTTATAAATTTACAGTCGAACTTCCAAACAATTTTTTTTTTTTTTTTTTGATCAACCTTCAAAATCCAAACCCAAATCCCCAATTCACTAGCTTAGCAAAATTACACAGCAAAACTGTAATACAAAACCATAACTCCAACCCATTTCTTAACCAAAATAGTACTAAAATGCGTGAATTCATCCACATTAAACCAATGTCCATTGACAAACGCTCTAATTCTAAAAGTTTCAATAGCGAGAAAAGAGAAGAAAAACATCGTAAAGAGTTTTACAGGTATAATATAGGCATTTACATATATACGTATAGTGAGAGAAATACATCATAAAATGTAGAAAAATTAGAGAAAATTCGATCCAAGAATTTCCCTCCAGAGAAATTTTGGAAAGGCTAGAGAAATTCTTGAAAATCCAGAGAAAATTCATATCTAGAGAAATTTATGATATGTTTACAATTTTCTTTATATTTTTGACCAAGGAGTGTGGAACACACCTTAGCAAACAAGTTTCATTATCCTCTTCATAGTCTCCTTCTCTACATCAACAATGGTAAGGCCTCTATCATCATCATCATCATCTTTTGGTATATGTATAAATCTTTCTTCTTCGTTTTTGTTTAGATCATTCTAGAGAAGAATCGTAGAGAGATCTTCCAATACCTTGAAAGAGAGTGGCCAGTCTTATTCTAGTTGGTTTCGTTTCGGTGGCGGTCCACCTGGTGATCGTTCGACATCTTAGACGAGAGTCCGATCATAAAGGTCGGTGAAGAAAATGAGAGTCCGATCATGAAGGTCGGTCACGATGGTGGAGGCAGATGCGGCGGCCATTGAAGGGAGTGAAGTGAGGAGAGAGAGAGAGAGAGAGAGAGAGAGAGAGAGAAATGATGTTTGATTTGAAAGAGTCAAATTTCTCTGTGATATATGGGTATGAGGTTGAGATACCTTAAACATCATAAAATAATATTGTGGATCTCTTCCATTATTAAAAATGAGAGAGAGACCTTAGACTAATTTTCTCCAAATATAATATAATTTTTTTTTAAAATCACTTAATTATGGATATTAAATTAATCTTATTTTTTATGAATGAATTATATGCTAGATCTAAAATATTTATAAATAATAAAAAAATCATTAAAACAAGACATTATGTCCAATTAATGGGCCAGATTACACAATCCAATCCATTTCACGAACTGGGAAAAAAAAATCCAAATTTCTTGGAATGATCTAAATAAGTGTACTTTTTGAATTTTTATAAAATATGGGTTGGGTTTGGGTTGGGTTTGAGAGGTGGTGTGACTTAAATAGGATAGTGACTTTTTGACTTTTTAACTTTTTTCAAACATGTCAAACCAACTCTCAAAATTAAACCATAAGTATACTTATTTCTCATTCTATGTCAAGGTGTGATTAAAAATCATGCTTTCAGTCAATTAGTTTTGAATAGGATACTTAGGCCTCGTTTGGGAATAAGTTATTTTAGTAATTTTTTAACTTTTTACGAAAAAATGTGCAAAAAAGTAGAGAGAGTGATGTGACAACTTATAGTAACTTTTTAACCTTTTTGACTAAAATAGTTACTCCCCAAACGAAGCTTTAGAGCATTAATCTGCTTTTCAATTTTTTGGTTTTTGTCAAAAAAAAAAATTTATGTTTTAGTCATTTTTTAAAATTTTATCCAACTAATCTAAATGTATATAAAAAGTAAAATATTTACAATTTTTTTTTTAAAAAAATCAATAAATACAAAAAACAAAAACAAAATTGAACTACATTCTTGTATTTCGTTTTTTTTTTTTACAAATTTTATATTTTTAGTGTATTTGAATTAAGTAGATAAAATTTTTTCCAAAAATTAAAAAAATAAATTAAAATGCAATGGGAGGGAATTGGACTAGCAATTCTGTAGACTCTACATAACTCAATGTTTATACAATGGCCCCGTTTGTTTGGAGTTATAGGGAGAAAATTGTGTTTGGTAGTGAGGAGGGGATTAAGAATGGAGTGTTTGTTTTATCTTATATATCATCATCATCATCTTTATGTATATGTGTTTGGAATTCTGTGCACTAGTATATAAAAAAACACACTTTATCTTATATTTCACACTAATAATCTTCTCACTAATCATATTGTATTTATAATCCTATCTAACTTAGGGTAGGTTTCAGAATCTCAACAATAATTAAAAAGTTAAAAAATTACTGAAAAAGTTAAAAAATTATACAAAAAAAGTAAATGATTCCATTTCCTCTATTTTTTACTCTTTATAAAAAAAAAAAAAAAATCATGTCCAATATATTAATATTTCTTTATCTCATATTTTAATTAAAAAATAAAAAAAATTATTTAAATAACCATTCCCAAATCAACCCTTAATTCGGCAAACAATTTAAGCGAAAGAGAATAGGCTCAAATGGGTGCATGATAGCAACGTGGCCAATCTGATCTGACAGCTTTATATTAGCAAATCGGGGCCGAAGCGCTCACAACTAAGATCCAACGGATGTAAATCAGAGTCCATTGAGTTAGGAAATCCGACGGTCATAAAAAATACGAGGGTTCTTCAAAACCCCTATCGCTCTCGCTTTATGTGAAAAGTTGTTCATGTTTTTTTCGAGTTTCTAGAGAGAGAAAGAGGGAGTGTGTCTGGATTCTGGAGTGGAGTTTCTCTCTCTAACTCAAATCATACTCTTCTTGTAAGTGCTCTAAACCTTATTGTTGCTATTTAGCTCTGTGATTGATTCAAATGTAAGTGTGGAAAAGCACCGCTGAGTTTATTTTCTGAACATTTTGGGACTATTGCTCTTTGAATGACAGCTCATTTTGTATACTCATGTCCTCTTTCTATCTGCGTGTCTTACCACACAAATGGGTGCAAATTTGTCACAAAATTTTATAACATTTTTGGGTGAATACAAAATTTTATACCATTAATTAAAAAATACATAACCTCCCACAAATTGGCATAACAAAAATATAGTTACCAAGCCACAAACTTTTTATTACATGAACCACAAAATATTGTACATTTTGTTATGCTAATTTGTGGTGAGATTACGCATTATATGGTTGGGGGTTTTTGTTACATGAACCACAAAATGTTGGACATTTTGTTATGTTAATTTGTGGCGAGATGATGTATTTTGTGATTGATGTTATGAAATTTTGTAGTAAAGTTACACTTTTGTGGTGCGGTGTGTAGCATCAGATTTCCCTTGGAGGGTATGTACCATAGGATTTCCCTTGTTTGTTTCATGCTCTGTGCTGTGTTATAGTGAAAAAAGTGAAAGACTAATGGTTTCTTGACATGTTGATTCCAATCCCATGAATTAAACCAAAGGGTTTGTACTTTTATTATCCAAGGCCCTCTCTTACATTTATGTAGTGTTTGGTTCATTGGAATGAAATTAAATGAAATGGTCATTCATGACTATTTCCGTACAATGGTGAATGATTATTCTATTTGTAATACATTTTTGTGTCATTTTGTTAGTGAACCAAACATGAGAATGGAGACTATATTAGAATGATCATTTCATTCTATTTCGTTCCAATAAACCAAATAGAGCATTAGGGTTTGATTGATTGGTTTCCTTTTTGGAAACAAAAGCATTGAAAAGTTTAAAAACACTCGTAGGTTTCATTATGTTTTTATTGGGTGAAGAGTTTTTAAAAATTCATAAACAATTTCTTAGAAAGTGGGTTGTATTTTTTTGAAAAATTTTCGAAAACACTTCTCCAAACACTCATCATTTTTGTAAGTTATCATTTTGTGTGAAAGCAATTTCTGAAAATTCATACATAAAAAATTCCTAGAAAGTGGGTTGTTTTAGAAAAATTTCCCTAACAGTTTTTGGAAACACTTCACCAAACAAGATTTTTTTTATATTTTTCAGAAATTAAAACAAAACCAAAAAATGGCCCTGTATAGCAAATTTCTAGGTGGAGATGTGCATTGGTTTTGGTCAACCATGCTCGGTAGTGTTTCTGTTAGATAAAAAATTAGGGCCATCTTTAATTAAATATGATGTGTATAGAAAGGATTATCAGGTTTGGGAATATTGTGTTCATTACATGAGCTTAATAGTTCTAGAAAAGGCATTATTTACTAGTTTATATCTTATGTTATCTGAGCATGTAAATAAATCATTTTGAGTGTCTATTACGCAAATTATACTACCCGCATTATTTAGTGGACATTTGGTTTGATTGACACCATGGCTACTATACTGACGAAACTACCTCGTCGCTAAGACACTTACTTTCCTGACAAACTCTTGCGTTGCCAAGAAAAAGTTGTAATGGCAAAATTTTCCCTCCATTTGCAGAAATAATCCTATGGCGTGAAAATTTTTCTCCACAAATTTTGCCTAGATCATTAATCTTTGTTGCCAAAAACAAGTATCATTGTTGATATTTTACCGACAAGTCTAATTTCTCATCACCAAAAGACTTCCTTTGCCCACAATTATTACCTTATGCTAGAAATACTTGTAGGCTGTAGCCACTAATGCTAATTGTTATAGTTTTCTAAAATCCTTAAAAATTTTAAAGTTTTAATTCCTTTTTGTCCAAAGCATGCTTTTTGGTCATTTTTCCTTTGAAATGTTTTGATACGAATGCAGTATTTGCTGTAAGGATCATTTTAAATGTAAATTTGCAAAGTTTGGTTGAGGTTTGAGATCTATGAAGCATGGATACGGACACGAATACGGACACAGGACACGGCGATTTCAAAAAAATGGGAATACGGATACGGCGGGGGACATGGCAAATTATTATTATTTTTTTAAATATATGTGTTACGTATTTGCTATATAGATTAATTTTATATTACCAAACAATCAAAATTAATAAAAAAACTAATATTAATTTAATGTGTATATAAAGACCATTACATTTATGTATTAAAAACATATGTTCTATATATTGTAAACATTATATAAAGAAAATATTAAATATATAATAAAAATAAATTTAAAATATATAAATTTATAAAGAAAAAAATTAAATTAAAATATACAATATATATATATATATAAATATCTAATCATAAAATAAATAAAAAATAAAGAAGAAAGAAGACAAAGAGAAGAGATATAATATATATATATAAAAATATAATATATATATATATATAAATATAAATAAAAATATCTGATCAACAGAGAAGAGAGAGAAAAGAGATAGACCAGAGAGAGAAGACAAAGAGATGAGAGAGAGGCGCGAGGTGAAAAGAGAGAAGAGAGCAGAGAGAGACAAGACAGAGAGAGAGAGAGAAGAGAGATGGAGATCTACCAATAGAGGAGAGATAGACGAGAGAGAAGAGAGACAGAGACGAGAGCTTTACTACTTACGAGGTCGTTCGGTGATGGAGATTGAATGAGAATTGATGAAGAAAAACGATGAAAAGAAGAAGACGACGAAGAATTGATCAAAGGACACTCACCGGAGGGACTATTCGTCGCCGTTTGAGTTTGCTGAAGTGAGGAGATTTAAGCACAGCAACAAACAAAACCTAGGTTGTATATATTTTGTATTATTACAAAATAACCCTCTCATTTTTTGTTTTTTAAATATTACACTTTGACCACAAATAAATATAACAAAGTTAAAAATGAGCCTCGTCGTGTCTCATGCCGTGTCCCGATATGGACACGCATGTCCTCGCCATGTCCCCTTCGTATCCCCTATAAAAAAAATCATTAAATTAAAAGGACACGCCATCTGGCGTGTCCCTGGCGTGTCCCTGGCGTGTTGGACATTGCCATGGCACTGATTTTGGAGTGTCCATGTTTCATAGTATGAGATTTTTTTGAATATTTGAAATTTTGAAAATTTTATGGTTATATATATGCGTGTATGTATTGTTGAATTCACATGACGTTTGGGGATTGTTAGGATGTTTTGGATTTTTGTCAAGTGATAGGAATTTGTTTTTGGACACTTGGGATGAAAATTGAGATTTGTGAGTTCCATGAAAATAATAATAAAATATAAAATAAAATGCTATTTCTAATTGGGTGTTTAGGCCAAAATTCAAATCCTGGACTTCTTGGTCTATCTCCCCACACTAAACTACTAAGCCCATAAGGACATAAATTTTCAGTGTGACGAAAATACCCCTGCTTATATAACCACCCTACAACCAAAGAAACTAGGTGGATGGTAGTGGAGTGTGTGATAGTGGAGGTGGTGGGTGTGGAGAAAGATAGTGGAGGTAGTAGGTGAGTGGTAAATTCTAACAGCAATAACCTATTGTAGCATTTCAATTATGTCTATCAGTTAGTATAATCCTTCACTTTCTCACCATCCTTGCCTAACTAATTTTTAAATCAAACTAATTTGTGCTACAAGCAGTTAAGAGTTTTCTGTTGAAAATTCAGGACACAACAAACGTATATTCCTTTTTTTATATATAGGGAAATTCAATAAATTATTTAAAAAATAAAAAATAAAAATCAATCCATTGAAACATCATCAACAACATCTTAACGGGCATCTTTTCCATGATCATCAACATCACCAACGTCACTATCTGTTGATGCTTCATTTGGAATCTCCATAAATGTACTAAAGTGTTATTTCTCTTCCTTTGCCCTGTCATCTATCAATGATTCAACATTTATTTGCAAATAGTTCACACTAATCTCCAACCTAGAAAATTAACTTTCCAGATTTGCCAAACTTTGAAAATTGAGTGTCTCCACGAGAGGAGCCATGGATGATTCGATATCTAATTTAATGTTACAATTTGGCATAACCATTTTCCGATATGATAATCTAAACTTGTGATGAGTTTAAATCGTCCATTAGCCACTATTTTTGACCTAAAGCAGTACATGAACTGTTGATTATAACTCTTTATCTATCTATTTTATATCGTAAATACAAATATCTCCCCCTGTAAAAAAAAATTAAACAATTATTTATTTTTATATCTGTATGCAACTCCAATTTTAAATTTCAATCACACTGTAACATTTTTTCATAAAAAATATATAGTTATATACATATCTGCACATACAGAAATATTTAACTCTGTAAAATAAAAAACAAAAAACAAAAAACCTTGCATAGAGTTATATCTAAATTAAAAATGTCAACAGTTAAACTTAATAATGTCTCACTAACACTATTAATTGTCATTTTCACTAAACATATAAGAATAACTGTCCAGACAAATTTCATAAAACAACTGTTATTTAAAAATTTATCTATCTTTGCAGATTTTATCTGATTTATATCTTAATAGATTTTTCTATATATGCACATACACACCATAGCACATGTTTGCACAGATTTGTCTGTCTTTTGAAATTTCATTTCATCTAAATCTGAGCATATTTATCTATAGATTTATGTGTTCCAAAAAAATTGGTACACTTACATATGTGTAGAGAAAAATTTATTACAGATATTCATATTTGTACAGTGTTGACAAATGTTAATTGGACATAGAACCTGTGTTATACAGATTTATCTATTTGTACGAACACATACACCTTCATATATTTTGACAGATATATCCGTGTACAATTATGTATCTAAACAGATTTTTATCTATATCAAAAAAGATTTATCTATCTGTACAAATTTCATTACAATCTATATCTGAACATATTTTTTTATTTGTGCACATAGACACCATACCACATCTGCACAGATTTATCTATGTTTTAATTTTAATTTTTTATTTCATTTATATCTGAACAAAATTTTCTATCTGTACACATATGTAACATGTCTCCATAAATTTATCTATCTGTTGAAATTTCATTTCATTTATATCTGAACAGATTTATCTATTTGTACACATAGATACCATAACACGTGTGTGCTCAAATTTATCTGTATGTACAAAATTCTTCTCATGTATATGTCAACAGATTTCTCTATTGTATTTCATGTAATCGTTAACAATCATTTTACATATATACTTTGCAGTCAACAGTTTGTGCATTGCAAAAATGACGAGAAAGAACAAACAATCACAAGAAAAGTACGAGTTGTGTCCAAGGAGTGAGAGATGCAGTTTGCCAGTCGCTGAAAATAGCCCGACAATTGATACAATACCAACAATAAGAAACACCTCCCTAGTGCAATCAGAAGCCTCACTGGTCCTTGGTACAATAACAAGGAGATCGCCTCGTCTGAGTGGACGAGCTCAGCATCTGTTAGTAACCACACCACCAGAAGCCATTCCTCCCCCTCTAAAAGAAAGGAAAATTCCTAAAAAACCAGAAAAGAAACGAGCTGCAAAGAAAATACGTACATTCATATTTCAACATCGGTCAAACATCTTGGCTGTGATACGATTGATTGAAAGGATTCGACTCACAAAAGCACATAAAGATGTGCTGAAACAAACACCATTCTGGCATTTCTTCGAATCAATCCTGAATCAGCGTTATGTAGAATCATTGAGGTGCAAAAAGAACGAGAACATTATTGTTGAAATAATAGAATCATATAACTACAAGAAACAAGCATTCCACATTGGTGGAAAAGATTTGCTCCCAAGCAGCAGAGACATAGGGTTGATATTTGGCATAAAGCAAGGATCAGAGCCGCTAGATATCACTCAGGGATCAAGAAAGAGTTCTCAATTTGTCAAGAGAATATTTGGTAACATCAATAACATATCCAAAGTTCACATTGAGAATGCAATTAATGAATCGCTGAAAGGAAGAAGTGAAAGGGATTATGAAGATGTTGCAAAACTGCTCTGCTTACATGCACTTCTAACAGTGTTCTTCTCCGGCAGTAGCCATATTCTGACAAGAAGATATATACATTATGTGGACGACCTCCAAAACATGGCAAAGTATGCATGGTGCGATGCGATCAGAGACAAATTAATCAAATCTGTGCAGAAAATGCACCAAAAACCAGCTGGAGTGACTGGATGTGTCATAGCACTTTTAGTAAGTTTTTATCACCACTAAAAAACAATCGAAATATTCCATATTTAATTCCATATTTAATTTCTTTCATTTCTTATACACAGTACTGGTTGTGTGAGCACACAAATCTTGTTCAGCCAAACATAGACGAGGGATTCCCGAGATACATCAAATGGCATCTTGGCACTCTAAGCAATAATTTAGGAGAAAGGCGAATTCCAACACTCAGACCTGAAGAGGTAACAGCATAATCATTTAGAATTTTTAATAACATTTTGCTACCAATGAAGAGGAAACAGCATAATCATTTAGAATTTTTAATAACATTTTGCTACCAATACTTCTTTCCTGCCATATATATATATATATAGTAATCTTGTGTTGTCACCCACTGTAAATTTAAATACAGTTTATAAGAAGTTATGAGAATTTTTTCCTCAAATGCCACAGGTTTTGGAGGATGAGCTTAAACTCACAGACCTAGAAATCAGTGTTTTTGTAGAAGAAACATTGGCAACACAAAACAATCAGATCATCATGTCAAACAACGAGTCAGATACTCGAACTGTTTTACATGAAATGAAAACTTGGGACAGACAAGAAGTGACGACTGAACAAGACAAACTTGATGCATTGTGCGACGCAATCCTGGGCTCCATCTCTGAATTTCACTCTGTTGATGCCTCGCAATTTCTCTTGGAGACTAATTTTGAACATTTGGAAAGAGAGACAAAACAACATGAAGGCAAGTTTGATGGTTACATTTCTTTGGGAACCGCAATTGATAACATCAACCGAATAGCACACGAAGTATGTGGTCATGAAGAGGAAATGAAGGCATTGAAAACCGAGAGCAACTATGCTTTAAACCTTTTGAAAGAAATGGTAGTAAATCATGTGGAAGACAGGAAGAAACTGGTGCACATGGAAAAGGAGAACAAGGAAGTCAATGAAGCAAACAAACAGCTTAGGGAAGAGTGTGACAACATCAAGAAGGAGAATGAGAAAGTCAATGAAGAAAACAAACACTTGAAGGAAGAAACTGAGAAACTCGAAGCAGAGATAGACATGCTAAAGAATGGGCAGAGAAACAACAAAAGATTGTGTGCATACGATTATGGGACAAAGTCAAAGAAGCAGAGAGAGGAAGAACAACTAAAATCAGAACAAGGAGAAGAAAATAAAGATGACCAAGAAGAGGACGACCAAGACTTTCTGGATATTGAAAATTATACCTGCACTGAGCCTGCTCCAAATGAAATAAATTACCCAGAACTGAAAAGGGATGGCCCGGTTTGTAAATTCTTGTCTGCGAATGAGTTTCAAAGGCTCCAGAACATCATAGCACAAGATGGATACACGTAAGTATGAAACAAAAATGACTCTAAACACCATTTAGGCTAAATATTTCAAAATAAACTTTAACACTCTAAATCCAAAACTGCAGGGCAATCATCTACAAAGAGAAAGACATGCTCTGCCAAGGATTGTACATATCCATGGAAGATATCATGACACTACTTCTGGAAAGAGCAATAACAAATATTGTAAGTAATTCACTAAATAATAATTCTTAATCTGTAATATATGTATATACTTGCTGTGATCCATAACTGTAAATGTTCTTAAGATATTTTTAATTATTAACGAGTTATATATGTGTACAATAGATTTATATCTATATAGATTTATTTACCTACTGACATAGACACTAACATATATCTGAATAAATTTGTATTTCTGTAAGAATTTGATATGATCTCTATCTTCAGAGTCATATATATATATATGTATATATCATTCGCAAACATAAATATGCACAAATTTATATATCTCTGCATATACATAAACTCACAAACATTATTAAAATAAATATATAAATGAAATAAATTAAAAAAAACCCTAATTTTCTACATGCAGGTCATTGATTGCTTGGGTCAAATTCTCCTCAAACAACAAGAAGAGGCAAGATGGGATGGCTCGACAGTACCAAACAAGACACGCTTCGTCAACAGCCACTGTTGGGTATATAACTAATCAAAAATTGTATATATATATTAATTGTTAGCAAAAAAATTCAAATACTGATTGAAATTCAATTTTCATGAAACAGACAATTATAACACGAGCTTCTGAAAGCTACAAGGAAAAAGAAATATACAGCAGAGTCTGCAAAGCAATACAAGACAATGTCAGGTATATTCAATTTCCCATGAATTCAAAAGGAAGACAAGAAGAATCAGTGCCATTTCACTGGACACTACTTGTCTACGACATGCACGAGGGAATGTGGAGGCACTACCACTCAAACAGAGGTATTGGACTCTATGATTCCTATTTTGAGGATGCAAAAATTGTGGTAGGTAACAAATTTTTTTTATACAAATACAATGTTGCATAATATAAAAAAAAGGATTAATTATACTTTTAACCCTTGTAGTTTGGCTCAAATTTCACTTTGGTCTCTATTGTTTCAAATTGAACAACTTGGTCCCTACACTTTAAGTTGAGTTTCAACTTGGTCCTTCTGTTCAATTTGGAGGTTGAAACTAACAGTTTTGGTTGTACACATAAAAGGTTTTAACTAAAATGAGGACGATATTGTGTGCCTAAAACTAAAAACTAGATTTCGATTCCCTGCCCTTCCAATGGATATGGAATCACGAGCACTAGATTTTGGAGGTTAAAACTAACAGTTTTGGACACTTGTCAATCTCCTGAGTTGTACACGGAGAAGAAATTAACAAAAATTTGGACAGAAGAACCAAAATGAAACTTGACGTAAATGAAGGAACCAAATTATTCAAATTGTAACAATAGCGACCAAAGTGAAATATGGGTCAAACTATAGGAGTGAAACGTGTAATTAATCCTAAAAAAATTTGAAAAACTAACACAAATTATATTTTACCTCGTCAATCAGAAAGAAAATGTCGAGAGATATTTAAGGAAAACATACAAAGAGGCATGTGAAAAACAACTGCAATCCATGGGGGAAATTAATTTATTTCAATCAGAAAGAATGCAAATCTTAGCATCCCAAGGTTTTGAGTGTCCTATCCTGCAAATGAATGACTCTCCACAACAAGTTTCTAGATCGTAAGTTTGTTTCTATCATAGCAAATAATAATAATAATTAATAATTATTACTTAAAAAATATGAATTAAACTAACACCAAATATATCAATGCAGGGTCGATTCTGGGATAATTGTCGCATACATGATGATGAAACTAGCGATGGGAATGAAATACGAAAGCTATCTTCCCCCTGAAATACTACAATGGACAAGAGCAAGCATTGCAAAAATGTTTATCAATTACGAATGAAAAATAATTGTGAAGATCTCTTGCTCTATATAATTGGAAATCTGGACATACTGTTAATTTTGTAGCTAGTCTAGTCTGTACAAAAATATTTAACTCGAAAATAGCTTTACCTCTTATTGTTATAAAGAAATGCCTTCCATTGCCAGAAGTTTATGATTGTTTCATTCCGTGGAAATTGTTGTAGATCACAACTGAATATATATAGCTCTTCTCTATTAGAACTGTTTTTTTATTTTATTTTATTTTATTTATGACAGTAGCAAAAGAAGAAACCAACTCTCCAAGGTAAAATAATAGTAATACTAATAATGAATTAAAAAAATTTAATGGACATATATACATAATTGTGGAAACATAAAAACAAGTATCTACAGATACATGTAACAGTCAATGAAATGGTTTGCCACGCACTAGACTTGACATTTCTATGAACCATCAAAAAAAGAAAAAAAAATCCGTACATTAAAACCAACCTTCCCGAGGGTAGGGTGCTTTGGTAATTTCCCTGTTGTTGCTTCCACGTTGTCTTAATTTCTATGTTTATATAAATGAGGAGCCTCTTGTATTGTGTAAAAGAGTTATCATCGTTTTCAGGTCATAGTAAAACTGCAGCGACTATGGACGTAGTTTTATTCTGAAGTGAACCTATATTCTTGTGTTCTTGTGTGTATATGATTGATTTAATTTGTATTATTTTTTTTATTTGTTATTTTATGTCTTACCGATTTTAAAATTAGGAGTTATTTAATTCTTAACAATAAAAACACTCGGTTAGGAACCACTAGCACTTCTTTATAGCACCAACAACAGAAAAATCAACCCTTTATATCTCTCTATTTAACAGATATATACACTCAACTCTCATGTGGCGTTGAATAAGTGTACAGACAAATCCTGTTAACATTTTTTTACAAAAGTTTTATATTATTATCCTTAATTTTTTTTTTGTCAAATTTCTTGTTTTATGCAATCACAACCTTGGAACCTAAGAACCAGACTCATTTTCTTAATTTTCTTTCTATTTTTTTCTCCTCTCCTTTCTCCTTTCTCCACCTCATGTCCAGTGCTATTCTTTCAACTAACATAATCAAACCAAAATAATTTCCAAATTAAAACCTTTCTCCTTCTCTACCTCATGTCCAGTGCTATGCTTTCAACTAACATAATCAAACCAAAATAATTTCCAAATGGAAAATGCTATACAAATAAAAAAAAATTTACAAATTTTTCTTACAAACTGATGTGGCATGGAGTGATATAACTTTGGAATATGAAATGAGGCCCAACTTACTAATATTCTAGGTGACACATCAGTTTGCGAGGAATGTTTCTTTATATAGCACTACTCTTTCCAAATTAAAACAACAAATGTATATACATATTTCAATGTACATAAATGTGTATATATATCAATTAATATTTATGGTCAGTGTGGGTTGGCGGGTTGATGGTTTTTCTGCACATTCCTACCCATGTACATATATACAACCAGCTGTAAGCCAAGTCTCTTAATAGGAGACTTAATGTGCCCACATACACATTAATTTTATAAATTATAAATTATGTATTATTTGTATATTTATTTTTTATTTTATTAATTATTTAATGTTATGGATGATAATTATTAAGGTTGGCTAAATACAAAGAATGTGGTTTGGCTAAGGCCTATCAGTTTCCACTAATTGATAAGTTTCCTTGATGAAATGAAACTAATAAAAATTGATGAGTTTCCTGGATGGAAGGAAACTAATAAAGTTTAGGTATCTATCTAATAAAGGTCTCTAATCTAGGAGCTATAAATAGGTTTGTGGTTTTCCATTAATGAAGTTCTACATAAGTTAAAAGACACTTACACTTAAATTGTGAAGTTCTGATGAGTTAGAAGATACTTATTCCTAAATTGTGAGTGGATAATATAATATTGAGAGATTCATAAGATATACACATATCACACAACTTGATCAACAATGACTGGAGGAGGTTAGTTTATTTCGTTATATATCTATACACATATGATTATATTATATATGTGTACGATTTTTTCTTACATTGTGGTATCAGAGCTTTATCTCTAAACCCATGTTGCTCAGTATACAGATTTATTATATATTAGAAAACGTAACATTAATTATATAATAGGTTTGCGTAAATAATTAGCATGAACTTGTTTGTTTGCATTCGATTAAAATTATACTATTAAATTTGGATTTTGCTGACGTGTTGTCTCTTTGAGATGCCTTGAAATCATAACTTGTGTTATTTAAATATTTTATATCGCAAACAAACTTCTTTGTCTATGGAAAAGTTGCTAGTTTGATTATATATTTATTCTAAACTATATATAATCTGTTGACATATTCACAATGTGCATATAAACATTCTGTCAGTCACATCACATTTTGTAATTAAATAAAATAATTATTATCCTTTAGCAAACTGTACATGGAATTGGAATTGGATTTAAAACAAATTGTTCTAAAATTTAATTTATTTACAGTTTTTAGATGAATGATTTGAAACATTTTATAAAGGTTTTAAACTATTGATAGCTGCATAGGTATATACCATTACTGTATATGCACATATTTTTAGAATATTGTAATGAATTAAATCATGCACTATTTAATTCTTTTAATGATTTACCTTTTGAATCCATCACATTAACATGAATAGAATATTATTTTCTGTATAGATATATAAAAAACACATATTTTGTTATCTATACATTTACATGATATTTGATAACTTTGTTTTGTGAACAATTTGTTTCAAAGTTTTGTGATGCAAAAGGACTTATTTACAGAAATTAAGTATAATATCTTGGGACTATTATGGATTTGTGTTTCGTTCCATTAAAGGTTATTTGATGTCTAATTTATAAGATGGTTGGGCATTACATTAATTTGAGAATAACCACAGTATCTTAAATTATTGTTATGCGTATAAATTCAGAAAATAATTATATTAGATGGCATCTTATTACTTACATTTAAAATAGTAGAATTAATTATTTTTACCCAAAGGGAAATAATTGTTTTATTAATTTATTTGGAATAAGATAGTAAGTTAAATATCAAAATAGAAATTTCCTATGTCCACAGATAATGGAATATTTTTATTTTTATTTTGTTGAGAGATATTTACTAGTCTTATTGATACAGTTAAATAGATTCGATGCATGTTGCAATCTTTACCCACAAGGAGATTATGATTTACTTTATTTTTATTATTTCATAGCATGATTTGTTCTTGGTTGTTGCAGTTATTCCTACTACATTATTGAGTTTTGAATCATCTCATATTCCATTTTTTAGTGGTGAAATTTTTTCTAACTAGAAAGATAAGATTCTTTTGACTTTGGGGCGCATGGACCTTGATTTGGCACTTCGTGTGGATGAACCGCCTATTCCCACGGAATCAAGTACGCTAACTGAGAGGGCTTCTTATGAGCGGTGGGAGTGATCTAATTGCTTAAGTTTGATGCTCATTAAGTCCCATATCAGTAAGGGTATTAGGGGTTCAATCCCTGACTGCGACAAGGTTAAGGTCTTCATGAAGGCTATTGAAAAGCAATTTGTGACATTTGATAAGGCATTTGCCAACACCCTAATGAAGAAGCTCTTAGGCATGAAGCTTAATGGTTCTAAAGGTGTATGTGAACACATTATGAAAATGCGGGACATTTCTGCTCAACTTAAAATATTGGAGATAGAGATTTTTGAGTCGTTCTTCATACATTTTATCCTTAACTCTCTTCTTATGAAATATAGTGCTTTCAAAATTTCCTATAACACACAGAAGGAGAAATGATCAGTAGATGAACTTTTGGCCCTGTGTGTTCAAGAGGAAGAGAGATTGACGCATGAAAAACTAGAGATTGCCAATCTTGCATTTCATAGAAAAGGAAAAGGCCGAAAGGACAAAACTGTTCCACAATAGAATAACAAGAAAGTGCAAATGAAGCATTATGGCAATAAAGGTGAATGCTTCTTTTGCAAGAAAAATGGACACATGAAGAAGGATTGTCCAAAGTACAATAAATGACTCGAGGAAAAAGGTAATCTCTTACCTCTTGTGTTTTATGAATCTAACTTTGTTAAAGTTCCTAATAATACATGGTGGATTGATTTTGGTTATACAATTCACGTTGCCAATACTATGTAGGGCTTTCTCAGCCTAAAGAAACCAACAAGAAGTGAACAAAGCATCTATTCGGGAAATGAGATGCAGTTACAACATGTACAGGTTGTGGGGTCTTTTAGACTAATTTTAAATTCTGGCTTTGTTTTCGATTTTGAAGACACTTTTTATGTTCCATCATTTTCTAGAAATTTAGTTTCGATTTCAAAATTAGTACCTTTTGGATATACATTTAATTTTGTTAGTTGAGTTTCAATTTATTGAAAAATAATGCCATTATTGGCAGTTATTTTTTAACTGATGGTTTATATAAATTTGATTTGGATTTTTCATATGAAAATAGTCTTTTAACCTTGCATGATGGAATTGGCATAAAGACAAGTATTACCAATGAGAACTCTTCTATGTTATGGCATGGGAGATTGGACATATCTCAATGGAAAGGATAAAAAGATCAGCGAATGATGGAGTTTTAAATACTTTTAATTTTACTGATTTTGGTACTTGTGTGGATTGCATTAAGGGAAAGCAAACCAACAAGTCCACTAAAGGTGCCAAAAGGAGTTCTAATATTCTTGAGATCATACACACAGACCTTTGGGAACTATTTACTCCACTTTGTTTCAATGGTGAGAGATATTTTGTCTTATTTATTGATGATCATACACGACATATGTATCTCTATCTTTTATTTGATAAGGCTGAGGCACTTCATGCTTTTAAAGCCTATAAAGCAGAAGTAGAGAAACAAACAGAAAAGAACAATAAAATCATGAGATCAGACAGGGGTGGAGAATATTATAGAAGGTACACAGAATCCGAACAAATACCTGGTCAATTTGCTGGGTTCCTTAAAGAATAATTGTCCAATATTCAATGCCTGGTACACCACAACAAAATGGTGTAGCTGAAAAAAGGAACCGTACACTTATGGACAAGATAAGGAGCATGCTTAGTTATTCCAATGTTCCCATAAATTTGTGGAGTGAAGCTTTGAAAACCGTTATGTATGTCTTAAATTGGGTTCCATCTAAAGTTGTTCCTAAAACACCTTTTGAAT